AGCTGAGGAGCTGAGTGGTTAGAGTGTTTGAGAGAGGATGACTACATATGCTGAAGTCCCCTAGGATGAGGGCAGGCATTGGGGGAGAGCACATTCTGTAAGCCAGGTATCAAAGTCATAGAGGAGGGAAGGAAAGTGAGCTGGGGTTCTGTAGGCAACAGCTACAAGGATTGTGATTGGGTGGGAGCTGATGAGCAGCACAGGAAGCGAGTACTAAGTGGTGGAGGAAGGGGCAGAACCTAGAAGTGGCAATGGGCAGCAAGGAGTATTCCAACTCCCCACCCCCGACCAAGGAGCTGAGGAGAACGAGTGAAAGTGCGGCCAATGCGGGGAAAGGATGGTCAGGGAGGCTGTGTCGTCAGGGGCAACAGTCCCTTCCCTCAAACAGCTTGCATTCTATGAGGGAAACTGTGTGTGTGTGTGTGTGTACATACACACACGTATATGCATGTATGGATGTACTGGGGCACTCAGATGTGAGGAGGAAATGCATTCCAGGCATGAGGGATGGGAAAACGGGACAAGTTGTGAAGGCTTTTAACATCAGTGGAGTTGTTTCCATTTGCCCTTCAGGCGATAAGGAACCACTGAAGTTTACTGAGCAAGGGAAAGACTTGGTAAGACCTGAACTTTAGGACAAGCATTTTGACAGCTGTGTAGACAGTGACTCATAAAACGGCTCCCCGTGACCTGCATTGTTGTTCATTCTTCGTTCCTGAAGAGGACCAATGGACCAATGACAGAAGGAGGCAATGTCTTGGCTCACAAGTGAATTGGATTTAAGTGAGGCAGGGCTGGGCAAAGTCACCAGCGTCACTCCCCTCCATAGTCATCGGAGTCTAGTGGCAAGACATGGGTCAGGACTGGCAATGGCCCCAGATGCAGTGCGAGACCTTGGTCTTTTTAAGTTAAGGTCTTTCCCAAGTCTCTCTGTCTCAGACAATACCCATTCAGTGAATAAAGGCTAGGCAAAAATTGAGGGGAAAGATGGCCTAGTTTGCCTTCACAAAAGAATCAGTCTGGGAGGGGACGACCCTCAGAGTTTCTTGCACTCTGCATATTGACTTAGAAAACCACAAATGAACATTATCTATGTTGGATTGTAGGACATTATCTATGTAGGATGTAGACAGTGCAGTGCATAGAGCACCAGGCCTAAGTCAGGAAGACTCATCTTCCTGAGTTCAAATCCAGCCTCAGACACTTACTAGCTGTGTGACCCTGGGCAAGTCACTGAATCCTATTTGCCTCAGTTTCCTTATCTGTAAAATGAGCTGGAGAAGGAAATGGGAAACCACTCCAGTATCTTTGCTGAGAAAACCTCAAATGGGGTTATGAAGAGTTGGCCACGTCTGAACAACAACAAATGTTGGATAGTATTTGTATTTGTTAACCATTTCCCAATGATACTTTCATCTGGTTCAGGCTGCATGCTACACCTCCGGTGTCAGAGGATGGGTTGGAGTGGGGAAAATCTTAGGCAAGGAGATTAGTTAATTAGGCAGCTATCGAAGGAGTCCAGGCAAGAAGGGACGATAGACTGAACCAAGGGGTGACTGTGAGAGTAGAGCAAAGTTAACAGATGTGAGAGATGACAAGCGAGAAGCTTTGTGGGAGAGGAGACAAATTGGGAAGGAACTTGGGAGACCTGGGTCCCTGAGGATGGCGGTGCCTTTGGCAGTAACAGGGACCCATCTGCGGAGAAAGATGCTTGGGACCATGCTGAACTGGAGCAGCCTATGGGATGCCCATTCTGAAATGTCCAATAGACAGTCAATGATGCTCCCTTGGAGGCCTGGGAAGAAAATGGGGCTGGATATCTAGAGCTCCATAGAGATGATAACTGAACCCACGTAAACAAGTCAGCATGGAGGAGAAAGAGGAGAGAGCTTAGGACAGAACTCTGGGGATGAACTCCAGTGGGTATGGTAAAGACGGTGAGCCAGTAAAGGAGAGGAAGGTGGAGCCGAGCTGTAAGGCAGATAGGAGAACCAAGGGAGCGGCATCCCCAAATGCCAGAGCAGAGGAAGAATCCAGGAGAGGCTGCTCAGTGCTGTCAGAGGCAGCAGAGAGGGCAGGATCAATGAAAATCAAGAAAACACCACTAGATCTGACCACGAGGAGCTCACTGTTCACTTGGCAGAGAGCACTTTCTGTTGATGGAATTTGAGTCAGGCGTCAAGGGCCACTATTTATGGTAATCTTGGCACCACCAAGTGGGTCAAACAATAAATCTTAATACAGTCTGTCTTGGGCCGTCTCCTCCTCTCTTTTGTGGTACTTGAGAGCTCGTGTAGATTCAAATCTCTCTAACACCAACTGCCTGCAACACGTCTCCACCAGGACTTCCCAAAGGCATCGCAAGCTCATTATGTCTAAAATGGAACTCATGTATCTTCTCCTCAACCCACCCTTCCTCCAACCTCCCGAGTCTGCAACCTTGGCGTTTTGGTTGGCTTTTCCCTTTTCTCAATACTTTCTCAGTTTCCAAGTTTCCGCTCCACGACATCTCTCACACCCACCCCCTTCTCTACATTCACAGGGCCTTGAATTCTTCTTTAGGGCCTTATTCCTTCCTGCCTGGCTGGTTTTCATGGCTTCTTAACTGGTCTCCATGTGGCCAGCCTGTCTTCTCTCCAAGCCATCTTTTACAAAGCTACCATAATCATCTTCCTAAGCACAGTGCCCGTTCCCTGCTCCACTCTCCAGGGGCTTCCTATTGCTTTGGGAGATAAAACACTAACTTTGCAATTGGACATTTAAGGTTCACCACAACGTGGCTCACATCTACTTTTTTTTTAAAGCCTTAATTTGCCCTTCTGCAGTTATTCTTCCCCCTCTCATGCCCCCAGACTAGACTATTAGCTTATTTGCCATTTAACTTTCCACTTCCAAATATTTGCACACTTCCCCCCCTCCCCCCATGCCTAGAAGCTCTTCAACATCTCCAGTTACCTTCAAGGCTGGGCTCAGATGCTCTCCTGGATCCCTTTCCACCCCCACCCCCCACCCCATGCAGGGGTGCCCACTCCCCTCAGATTAGCCGGTATTTACAGGAATGTAAAACAAAGCCTTTTTTGTCTTTGGGGCACCAGGACTTTGTACACTGTTAAGCACCCAATAACTGGAATTTAAATTCAAATGGAAATTGATTCCCAGAGGTAGAAATAATACTGTAGTTGCCACAGGGATGGATGTGTTCCTGGGCATAAAAAAAGGGAGCTTACCAGCGTACCAATATTAAAGGCTAAATAAAACAGTGATTATCAGATGTAAGGTCCTCAGCTCAGGAGGACCATCTCTTCGTTTTACACGTAGGGTTGAGCCCATCCCCCAGTGCCATAGGCTGCTTTGGGGCTCTTGCCCAACGGTGCATCAGATGGGCAGATGTAAATTTGACTGTCTTTTTAAACAGATTTCTGTTCTCAAAGGTCTTACGGAATCCCATGGAGACAGATGGGGGTACTGGGGCCAGGCTAACTGCCCCCACCCTTACGTCTTTCCCATTTAGGGGCAGCAGATCAGAAAAGGAGGTAGGTAGAGAAGAGGATGATTAATGGTGCACTACCTCTCTGCCCTTCATACCAGGTGGACTGTGAGTCTATCTCCAAAAGAGAGCTTCTACTCCCCCCATCCCCTTACCGTCATGCAAAGATGCCAGGACTGTCTCATCAGCACCCCAGGGAAACAGCAATCCATTTGCATGCTGACTTCACTTACTGATACCAGTAACTGTGCTGTAGCAGAGAAGGGGTGGGTTTATTCCATGAGCCAGCTGCCACCACGTCCCCCTCCCCCTACCTATTCCCCTCCCCCCATCCCAGCTGGCTTTACCAGGAAGCCCCATTAACTTGAAGTTGATTGTAATTGTTCATGCTTGATGTTTTCAACACTCCAAGAAGATTGGCGACAAGCCCTTTAAATTCTGGGGCAATTCTCCAAAGGAGGTCATAGGTAAGACCAACATGGAGCATGATGTTTATAGCAGCCTTCCTTTTTGGGGGCAGCAAAAGACTGAAGCACAAAGTGGGTGCCTAGCAATTGGGGAATGGCTAAAAACAAGCAGTGGTATGTGAATGAGGAACTCAGAAAGCATGGGAAGATTTAGATGAACTGATGCAGTTGAGCTGAGCAGAAACTGAAGGATCAAGTTCTAATAAGCACAATCCTGTAAATTAAGGAAGTCAAACTTTGAGTAATGATAATAACCAAATTCCTCATTTCAGTTGAGAGGCAGGAAACATGGAGGTAGAGGCATGATGTAGTAGAAAAAGTACCAAAGTCAGAAGATGTGGGTTCAAATCCTGACTCTGCTACTCACTACCTGCATAACCTTGGGCAGGTGCCTTCCCATCTCTGGGCCCCATTTCCTCATCTGTGAAGAAAAGGGGGATTGGTTTGGACGGCTTCCAAGGTCCTTCCCAGCTCTAACCCTCAGATGCAAAGAGCTTTGCACACATTGTCAGATGTGGTCACTTTATCAGTCATTTTTCTTTGCTCCAAAGGAGAGTTCAGTTTGGGGTGGGTGGGGTGGGGTGGAGCAGGGTTAGCTGTATTCAAGTAACTGATATAAAAGCAAAACACATCAATACAACATTAAAAACAATTGGGGTAGGAGGGGCCTGGTTTACTCCTGCATTCTCATGGGTGGTCTCTCTCTTTTTTAAAGAATGGATTTTCTTTTTTTTCTTTTTGGAGACTTCCCGACCCCTCCCTTGGGTGTGCGGGCTCACTGGGAGGTTCTCCATTTACTGTTGATATCACCCTCTGTCCATTTCTTTTCAGCCTGTGCAACTCTTGGGCATAAGTCTTCCAGGTCCCTCATTGAGAACCATCAGGGAAATGGGGCTGGGTGGATGGATGATTAGGACGAGTTAATCTCTCAGATCATCTCCACATGCAAAGGCTCATAAAACTCCAAACCCACACTGCTCGAAGGTCCTTATGGATCAGAACTCCACATGGAAAACACAGTTACAACAAGAGAAGACAAAAACATGTTTTAATCTTTAAAAATTTTTTTTTATTATTGATAACTGCCAATATGACTCTCTTTACACAGGCCGGCTGTTTCCTATAAATATTGGTTTTGGATTAATTTAAAAGTCATACTTTTGCACCCCCTAGACAACGGAGAGTTACCCAATCGTGAAAATTCTACTCGTAAGAGTTCTCGTCCTCATTCTTTCTCCTCCTCTCCCAAAGAATGAGGACGTTTTTGCCTCTTCAGGTCTGTGTAAAGGTTCCTTGGCAGGAGTACATGCATATGACTTTAAAATAAGGACCAATAATCCGCCGCTAAGGGTGATGCACAGAGAACAGAATACAGTACGAAGACATCATTTCAAATAAATACCCACATATAGACAGATGAAGTTATTTTAAATGCAACAATATTTCTTATAAATCAATACTGTAACAGAAGGTGAAAAGAGAGAAGTCCCCACATCTAGGAATAATAATGTTTATTCCAGCAAACAGAACTCATTTGTTCCTGCCATTTATATTATTATTATTTATTATTATAATTTGTACTTTTTTGAGGAAAAAAATGGGTTTTTCTTCCTCCGGAAGTACCAATTGAATCATTCACAGGAGCCTCAACAAAAGTCCTGAGGCACTTTTGTTGATGTCCTTTTTCCGTTTCTGTTTCCTGAAATGACAATGATTAGATACCACATGCAAGAGAAGATATTAATGTCTTGCTTTCACATTCGCAAAGAATACTAATGGTTAAACCATGCCCACCGCTGCTGCCGGAGAAAGCGAACAGAATATCCACAGCTGACACCCATCGGTGCTGCAACCAGACATGTCCTCTTTCTTTCCACACAGCTTGCTTCTTCGTTCAGTCCAAGTCCATTTGGTTCCCCAAGTGTATTCGATGTTTTGTGTTTGCTTTTCTTTCTTGAGCCCTGAATTTGCCAGGATCTGCCTGGGAAAGTATCACTGACTAACAGAATTTTGCACAATTTCTCATCTCTCGTGGGATATAAAGAGACCCATTTCCAAAACCAAATGAGCTTGCTTACTTTGTGTTTATTGCTCCGTATCTTCCCAATTCCCAACCAGCTCATTCCGGTTCCTTTTTTTTTCTAGACTAAACTATATCCTAGGATTCTCCCTCAAATTAGCAAAGGCACTACTGGCAACAATGAATAACAAAAAGGCGTTGAAATTGAACACCCTAGAATTGACAACTTTAGAATTTTTCTTTCTAAATGTACCACAATTTGGCACAACAAACAAAGAGGTAACGAAACAATTCCAATTTGGAATTTCACTGGTACAGTTGTAGAAAATTCTGTTAATCAGTCATGCTTCACAACCTCCTCCAATCCAGAATCTCTGGAACTTGCAGGTAATACTACTGCTTTCATCGCTTTAATTTTATTTTTCAAGTGCCTATTACTGTTTTAACCAGAGCAAAGTCAAGTTTTCTTCTTGTTACATTGAACTATTCCTAAGAATAATAATACAATATGAAAAAACCCCAGAATTTGAATACCCTGGATTTCTTAATGAACATGGCAGTTAAAAATCAGTCATTTAAAACATAAACCATAACATTTCATGATTAAAAAAGGCTGCTGAAGCACAGCACATAACAGTTTAGCAGAGCCACCCCACGTGAGCTGGGGCTGTCACCTAAACAGAGTCTAGAGCAAAAACAACCCAAAAAAGCCTACAAAGTTCTGCGACATGCCTCTGGAGAAATCAACGAGTACAAATGCATGATGGAGACCTACTGCGAGCACAAGTCATTGCTTCTCCTAGATCTTTTCTACATGAGGAATTAAGGAAGCTAATACAATATTAAAATATCAAAAGTGCACAGGTTTAACAATCAGATAAGAAAGGAATATAGGTCACAACAAAAATGGCTTCCCCCAATGGTGCCCCCCTCCCCCAACCCCATCTGAACGTTTCTAGTAGACTCATTGTTCGTTTGAAGGCGTTTCTTCAGCACTTGTAAAAAATGTTTCCTGCAGCAATATCAGCCCATGAGGTGTACAGGTTTTCTCTTTCCAACCCAGGATATGCAATTTTGAAAATGAGTGCAGGTAGTATATTCATGAGAAAAAGAAAAAAAGAGAGAGTGGAAATTTGGGATTTCGTCCGTTCCTTTGGGCAACCAGAGCTCCCTGGGCTGGTTTAGCCACCAGCACGAGCAGCTTAAGAAAGTTGCAATTTGACCGAGGGCACTGAAGGCCAATTCCGTCTCCGGGTACTACTCTACAGCTGAAAATGGGGGGGAAAAATGAAATTGTATTAGAAAAAACAGGTTACTTATCCCGTTAAGAGGCTTGACATCTTAATACTGATAGCACTGCGAGAGCTACAGAGCAAGTTAGTGGGGTGGCGAGAGAGGACCCAAGTGTTTGTCTGTTAGAAGGGCAGCCCCTGAGCCAGGGGTGGGGGGCGGTGAGAGGGGGGGAGCTGCCCAAGCACTGGAAACCAAGAGGGCCAGGGAGAACTGTGCTGGGGCTTTCCATTTACTGAAAAAGATTTCTTACAAGTACCGAATGGAGAGGCTGGAGGAGCAAGGGGCCAGCTGGGAAGAAGCATCAGAAGGTTTATCAGTGAAGCTAAACGATCTCTGGAAAAACATGCAGGAGGTGTGGGTCATGCGGGCCAACGCCGAAATCCAACTGACAGGAGCCTGCTCGTGGAGGTAGGTGATGGCGGAAGAAATTTCCCATGTTAAAAATCCGCAAAGAGCCAAGTAAGTAGAGGCTGAGACTGGACACAGACCAAGCCCAGGAGAAAAGAGTAAAGACCGGACAAGCCCCACAGTCTTTCACAGAGCACCATCTACACGTGCAGCCACACCGGCAGGAGGGATTCATTTTCTCACAACTGTGTCATGTGACTACTTCTGGTCTGGACCCAAACACAAACATCTGGAGACTACTTTGAGAAATGATGGAGGCTGAAGAAAACCCGACAGGCATGGAAACAATCACATCATCTCGGGTCCCCTGATAACACTGATCCCTTTTTAGAAGAATCTCAAGGACTCTGAAAGCCTCTCTGGGCAGCATGTCTGATCTCCTGACATGCGTCCTTGAACCCTAGGCTAGGCTGCCCCTTAGAGACAGAGACCCTGTGGGACTGGGTGCCTGTGGGAGCAGCTTCCTGCCGCAAGGAGCCAGCTGGTGCCGGATGATCTACTATGCAAGGAGGAGGAGAAAAACAAAGGCTGACGGGGGCCATGGTAGGGGGCACATAGGGGGGATCAGTACAGCAGCAGAATTAGTACATTGGCTTCTAAAATAACATAAGCTGCTCATTAGCAAAATTAAAGTCCTAATTCATGAAAATGAGCGCTTATTATAGGAGACAGAATATATACTGAGCTTTCTCATCCTTTTTTTCAGACCTCAGTTATTTTCCAAGAAGAGTTAAGTTATTGGGGGGGAAAAACCCAAGACAAAACTCCGCTTCTCCAATCTGATCCTGATGTCAGCCCTGTAAACCACATGGGTGATTTCCATTCTTAGCAGGTTCTAGATGTTAAAAAAGGAACAGGGCTCCCCATAGAAAAGGAAGGTAGGAGTGTCAGACACTTCCAAAAAAAAAGAAAAACCCAACCATGTGCCTCCTTCTGCCTCACCAATCCCCCAGACCCCACCACCATGGAAGCAGCAGCTCCCGGCCTTCCATCCTCAACCCTCTTCCATAGCCCTCCAGGCACCAATCCTAGAGGTCCTTTTGTTTGGTTTTGGTTCTTGGGAAATTGGCCTCAAGTGGTTCAAATTCTCCTGGAAAGTCTCCGAGTCACCGGAGTTCTCCAGTGGGCTGACAGCCTTGGGAAGGAGTCGGCATTAGCAAGATGAACTGGTTTAATTTCCTGGGCCTACAGCTCGCTCTGCTTGCATAATCAACGCTACTGTGTGTGTGTGTGTGTGTGTGTGTGTTGCTTCCTGTGTGTGCTCGGGGAAAACCAAACCAGGACAGTCACACAGGGAACAGGCCAGATCTCGCAGACCTTCCTATCCACGCTGGCCTAACGAAGCTCATGCGTCGACGGCCTGTGGACACAGCATTTCTTTCCCTACGTGCCACATGCTGCAAGAGACTACCTAAGGCTGGCCACGAGCCACTCTGGCGGGTGACAGGCGCTACAGCAATGCACACCCTACTACCTTATGTCATATTCCCGAGGGGGGCCAAATTGCATAACTTTGATAATATACATGTATACATAACATGAAATGTGCAAGTTTGGGAGAATCCACCTTCTCCCAGACACCTCCTGGAAGCTGAGTCAATCATCTTTCCCCTCAATGACCGCTATTGCCAGTGGCCCAGCTTCCATGGATGGGCAAGTCACGAATCTCTTTTTAAATGCAGGACACAGTTTTCTGTGACAAATGCCTGATTTTCCACACTGTCCTGCCACAATTTCTGGGACCACCTCATCATCTCCAGCCTGTCTGTCTGTCTGAAAAGGAGGCCGGGAAGTTTGATGTGTGCTTAACACAGCCCAGGAAGGGGCGGAAGTCATGTTTGTGCTCTACAGACTACAGCTAGTGCCACCCAACGTTACAGATTCGAGGACACGCTCCCTTTAATAGAAAAGAAAAAAAAAGGCCCCCCCCATGTTCACGGTGGAAGGGGTCCAGTCCCCACTACAATAACCGTGCAACTAGCAACATCCCCCTTACATATGGATTTCTCATCGTCAAGACCAGCGTAATGCAATGTGTATGATGCGGTTGGTAAGGATAAACTAGCAACAGCCTCCATCACTGAAATGTTAGTGGGGCGTTAAGCGGACAACAGAGACAGCGGACGGTTAGATGTGCGCGCACCATCCCACGCGGCTCCCCAAGAGCCACCCTAGTCACAATAAATCTTATACTTCTCGCTGCAGAACACCTGGTTGCTGAGCATGGCCCCCTCGGGCCTGTCCGCACAGGACCGGAGGTGACTTACACTTGGGGTGCCGCTCTTGCCTTTGGAGGCCGACTTGGTGCGCCCCCTCTTTGCCTGCTCGTGGTCGAGCTCCAGGTGCTCCAGTCGCTGCGTCAGGGCCAGCTTCTGCTGGATGGCCATGCGCAGCAGGGAGTTCAAGGTTTTCTTCTCATCCTCTGCTGCTGCGAGCTGACGCTGCATCTCGTCCAGCTGAGTGACGTACTCGTCACATCTGCAATGACAAGGAACAAGAGAAGCCTTAAAAATGCGCCGCCACTGTGCACTGGGAGAACTCCCTGGGAGGTCAGTGGGAGAGAAGCCAGAGGTGGGACGGTGTAAAGGTCAGCTCAGGAGGTAGCCCCCAGTGGAGCGCCCAAGGCCCCCCACCTTCTTCCCATACAGCTAATGAGGAAGCAAGCACCTGACCCCCAATCCAGCACTTACCAGTGGAAAGGCCACTAACACTGGACATAGATGCCTTCTAGGGGCAGGCCTTCCCAGCCCCAAGATTCTGGAGTTCTCTGAATCACAGAATCTGAGAGGAGCCTCAAATACTGCCCATATATGAAAGGAACTCCCAGACAAGTGGTCATCCAGTTTCTGCTTGGAGCCAGCTAGGTGGTGCAGCAGATAGTGTGCTGTACTTTCAACTACGAAGACCCGAGTTCAAATGCAGTCCCAGTCACTTAACTAGCTAAGTGACCCTAGGCAAGTCACTTAACTTTTAACTTAAACCTGCCTCAGTTTCCTCAGCTGTAGCCTCTCAGGGTCATAGAGAGGTTAGAATGAGACAAAGCATTTTGCAAACCTTAAAGTGTTATGTAAATGCTGGCCGCTATTATTGTTATTGGAGACCTCCCAGGGGAACCTGCCAGCCCTTGGGGCAGCCCGTTCCACTTCAGGACCACTCCAAGTTTAAGAAGCCTTACAAACACTAGGCTAGTTTCCTGCTCATGCTATATTTTCAGGTCACCAGTACCCATGACGACCACCAGGGGGAGAAAGAACCCAGCAGTGCGGTCAACAAAAGGTTAGGATAGACATGAATTTCTATTCTCTGATGTAAACCTAGTGTTTTTAAGGGCTTAGAGGGCTATAGACCGAGAAGCTTGCCCAGGATTGGAGGACCACAGATCTAGGGAAGGAAGGAAGGGAAAGGTCTGAGGCTCTGAGGCATCCAGCAATGGGTCCGAGACCTCAAGGGGGTTAGGAAATGAGGCAGGATTTGAACCTAGGTCTGCCTGAGGCTCTATCCACTCCACAATTTGCTCAAAGTCATACTACTAAGTCAATCTTGGGAAAACTCAATTCATAATGCCACTTCTGTTTGCATTTCTTAAAAAATCCCTATTTCCATCATGCTTTGAAGTTTACAAAGAGCTTTTGCTGCAACTGTGCTGTCAGAGAGGCAGGCAGTACGATTATGTCATCTATTATACCCATCTTATAGATGAGAAAAGAGTGAGGGATGCTGAAGGTTTACTGAGGCTAGTGCTCCCTCCTAGGGGTCTGCACGGGTACTTCTCCAGAGGCCCATGTCAGCCCTATCCCTGCCTGAGGATTGGCCGAGAGCATACCATCCCCAGGGGTTTCCAGGGAATGTTTACATATTCTCAGAGGTCAGAGGGGTATGATCTCTTCTCATAATCCTTCACAAAAGCTATATTTCTGGGACAGAGCTTCTGGCCACAAGGAGACTGCTAGTCCCAATCTGGAAACTAATTTAACTAATCCATGTGTCTGTTTGGATTGAAGAAGTCCAGCAGAAAATGATAATAAAAATGCCTTCCATTTATCCATTGCATACATATATGTGTGTCTATGTCAAGGGTGGACAACCTATAGAATAATTAACCAGGTCGATACCACTTTGTGACATTGCTTAAGCTGCTGTCTCAAACTGCTGTTTGCAATACAACCACTCATGTAGGTGTCTTTTGTCCCAAATTAGACCAATGATTTCCTAAGTACTGTAACTGTGTCTGGCTTGTATTTCTTTGCATTACCAGGCCTAATCTAGCAACATGTTGGGAAAACACTGAAACCAAATCAGAGCAGGTACTGCTGTTGGCTGTGCTGTTTCATTTATAAAATGAACGGCCTCCAAAGGTCCTTGCAGGTCCCGTGCTCCATGAGACCGCAGGGCGATGGATCCCAGTTCTAATACTTTTCTAGCTGTGTGATCACTGGCAAGTTATATAGAGTAAGATGGCTTGGGTTCAAATCCAGCCTCCTCTCACTGCCTCCCTGGCTGACTCTGGACTCCATCATCCCTAAGCTCCCTACCAGCTTAGATCTAGAATGCAGTGATCCAAACAAATGCCATGAACGTTCATCTTCTAAAAGAAACCCCCAGGTATTCACGAGCACTTGACTCCAAACAGCTCCTGCTTACGACAGAGGGCCAAGGAATGGGGACTGAGCTCTGAGCTGGACAGGCCCCTTGGCTCAGAGATGGTGATGGCAGAAAAGAAGTCTCCCAGAGCCTGCTGGGGAGGCTGCAATCAAGACCATTTGTGCCTTTTCTGTAGTTTCTACAGAAAATCCTTTCTTGGCTGAGGAGGAGCTCACTGAGAATTTCCCATTCCAGTCCCATTCCCAGCATGGAGACACGGCACGGCCGCCGGCAATCCCAGCCCAGCTCAACCAGCATCTGGTGACCTACACAGAAGGTTTGCTCCATTCGCCGCCAGCAGCGGCGGTACTCACTGCAGAGTCACGCCTATCCCACACCTTGTGAAATCCCAGGGCAGGGTTATCCCCTGGGGCAGATCACAGGGGGAATTCTGAGCTCTGACTCCCTCCCCTCCTTCCCCTCGCTTGGGTTACAGATGATGGGATCACCTGACGCTCTAAGCAGGAAGGCTTTCCCCTCAGACCTGCCTCAACAACTGGAACATGAGAGTGGGATTAAAAAAAGAGATCCCTAAATACTCTCACCGTGGCACCAAATGGTGAGAATGTTTCTCCTGGCCCTGTCTCTCGCCCGCCTCCCACCTCGCTCCCTCCCATCTGCTATGTCTGGTCTCCCAGGGCACTCTGATTTGTCTTCAGAAGGCCCAAGGCTCCCAAGTTATCACGAGGAGGGCAGTGAGGCCAACCCGCACTGGGCACTCAGGTCCTGGCTTCCCTCCTTCCTTCACTCTTGCTGAAGCCCCTGCCACTGGTGACTGGGGCAGAGGCTGTGGCCACAAGGTGGCTCAGGGAGCCCCTCACAGGGCAGGGCTCAAGGGTGCCATTCCAGGAAGCCCTCCTCTCCTCTCCCCTTCCTTCCTACAGCTTGGAAGGTGCATTCCTCCAGGGAGCTGTTTGTCCATGAGAAGGGCATGGGCTGGATGCCAGGTGCGGTCCCCAAGCTCTGGGGCATTGGCACCTGTCTCAGCCATTCCCTGAAGTAAAGATTTCCTCGGCAGAGAACAGGCCAGCTCTTTGGGGGCGGGCAGGCAGCCCATCCCCCGAGATGCCCTCCTAAAGGTGTCCCCACTGAAGTGACCTCATTTCACCCTAGAATATCAGGCCAGAACAGGGGAGTGGAAGTGAGCCTGAGCACCAGGCTCCCCTGGAAGGAAAGTCAGGCAAAGAAAGGCTGATTTCTTCCCTGGCAAGGACTAGACCCAGCCCATGCATGCAATGCTTCCGACCCAAGGCTCTGGGGAAACACATTCCCAATCGAGCTGGGTGAAGGCCTTCCAGACCCACGACAAGAACTGACTCGCTGATGAGGAGATGGACACACCCACCCATACACACACACCCACACACCCAGAGCCCTAGCCAGGCTGCCCCCTTCATTTGGGTGGCACAAGGGCCTGGAGTCAGACTTCAAATCCTTGCACTTTCTCAGCCTCGGTTCCCTCTTCTGTACAATGGGATAATAATAATAATAGCCACTCTGCAGGGTTTCGTGAGGCTCAAACAAGTTAATATACATAAAATGCTCTGCAAGTCCTAAAGCAGTATATATACATGCCTGCTCTTATTATTTATGGTTTATCTTTATTGATAAACAAAAGAAATAACCTCTCTCTAGGCCTTAACATTTACAGAACAATTTCCTCAGAACTACCCGGGAAGATCAATGGTGCAAGTGCTATTGTCCCCACTTTACAGATGAGGAAACTGAGGCTCAGAAAGGAGTCACTTAACTCATAAAGCATCATCAGAGCCGGGATTGGAACCTGGCCACAAGGGCCTCTCCGTCACACCCAATGTGTGACTCAAATGAGCCTTGCAGGGCAGGCTCAGCGAGGCCCCTGGGCCTTCATCCTCAGGGCCTCCGAGGGCCGGGAAGCGAAGGGAAAGTAGGGTTACCTGGTAGCGAACATGGCCCGCAGAGAAGAGAAGGTGGCGGCGTCCTCCTTGAGGGCCTTCAGCTCGTTGCGGAGTTTCATCATGGTCTCCGTCACCATGGCCTTCTCATTCTCGTATTTGCTCTTCAGGTTGGCCAGTGCCACTTCAGCAGTCTGGGGGCAAGCAAGGAGAGGAGAGATGTGTGTGAGTGACAGGGCCCGTGGCTCTGGGAAGTGGACAGCCTCTCGTTGGCCCCTGCCCACCAGGCAGAACCCCCACTAGCCAGCAGCTATTTCATCCTCCCCAACCTCGCGTGGCCCCGAGCGAGGTCCCCAGCTGGGGTCACCCCCCGCGCCTCCCCCCAGAAGAGCCCTTCCTACAACCTGCCTGGTGTGGGATCACTCGAGCTTCTGCTCGATGGCCTCCAGTGAGGGCAGAACTCTGAGCGGGAAGCCCACTTCTCCGGAAATGCTAAGACGGGGTGGAGAGAGGACTTAAATGCCAGGAAATCTGCTGGGGAGAGGAGTGTGAGAGTGTGTGCGTGCGTGTGTGTGCGTGTGTGCGTGTGTGAGATGAGTTTGCCTGGCTGAGGTCCCCCTGAAGACCTCAGCTTCCATGGCAGCAGAGCCCCTGCCAACGTGGCCAGGACTGACCAACCTGGGATTCCCCTCTCATGAACTACAAGGCTTCCTTAACCCAGGCTTAGCAGACCAAACGAGCACGCGACTTTCTTGGGGATGGAGCTGCCTGGCTGGTTGGCATCAATGCTCTGCCGCCCTTGGGGTCTCCAGTTACCTGCTCCTGTCTCTTCTGAAGCTGTCCCCAACCTCAGGATCACAGGAGCAGAGACGGGGGACCCCAGAGGCCATCGTCTTGTCTGACCCTGTCATTTTCCAGGAGCACACCGAGGCCCAAGGAGGTCACAGCATCACAGGCCGGGAAGGGACTTGCTGGAAGTCCTCCAGGAGTAGCGGGGGCCAGGCCTGACTGGGGGCCCTCTGCCTGTGGAGCTACCTTGGGTGCTCTCTTGGCCACAGACTCCAGGGCCCAAGCTTGCCTTGCCTGCACGCTATTCACTGTGCTTTACTTATAAAGAATTCATTTATTAGGCGAAGGGAGTAACAAACTTCGATATAAAAGGACAAAGGCGATCACCAGCAGGTGGTGCCCAAGCTTCCTTGCTAGCCTAGATTCTCCGCCATGATGTTCAGGCATCCATACCTCCATCCATGGTGCTCTAACACACAAGAGAGCCCGAGCGCCCCTTTGGCATGACCTTCTCAGACCCAGAAACACTCTCTCAAGAAGGCAAGGATCCCTGCCCTCTGCGTTTCACTGAGGAGTCTTGAGTTCCACTGTGCCAAACCACCATCTTAACAATGATAAAACAGCTCACATCTGTCTATACTGGCCTTCAGTCTCCAGCATTCAGGTCTTGGAAACTAGATCCTTACTGATCACCATCTTGTTTTTTCTTCCCCTAACCAGCAGAATGGGGACTCCTGGAGGGCCAGGAGCAGGACACCATGTTCTTCTTCTCTTTCTAGCCCCAGCACCAAGGACAATGCTCAGCCTTCCTAGGTACTTAATACATGTTTGTCCAATTTAATGTGAGATGAGATTATGCATTTCCCCTTCAACTCATAAACCATCATTCTCAAACACCCTCCCTCACCCCTGGGGAAGACAAAACATTCCTCACGGTGACCGCAGACGCCAGCGCCAAAGGCACAAAGAGGATGGGCAGCAGGCTCTCCAATGTGCGTATTTAGGAGTAGAATTGTGCCCAGCACATAGTAGGCCTTTAACAAACGCGTGGTGGTTAATTAAGAGTAACAAAGAACTGGCAGTCATCCCATCGGCTGGAAATCACTGAACAGAAGGCTGCAAGTGAATGCCGAGGGATGTTCCTGCGCTGTAAGAAAGGAGGAATGAGAAGATCCAAGAAGTCTGGGAAGATGCCCATGGGCCGGTGCCTCCTTCAGGTTAAGGCGCCAAGGCGCCTCCATTGTGATCGTCTGTTGTACCGGAGAGGTGCTTTGAAAGGGACCCAAAAGATGGCCTTATCCCCCACGAACCCCTTAGTAGAGGCATTTTAGGAGGCTTCAAATGACAGGGGGATGGTGAAGACAGAAGGCATGAAGGCACTGAGTACCTAGGGCCTGGGGGTGGTAGGGAGGAGGCCAAAGGAATAAGGGGAAACTGAGGCAAACTCCTCTGGCTCCATCATCTTGCCAGAGTCTGGCTTTCCCTCTCCAAACTCTCTGCAAATACACGACTCCTTCCCGTGCCATGAGCCAGCATTCCCTTTCCCAAGCAGCAAAGACTAGCCGTGCTTGTGCTTTGAGGGCAAGGGAGGGGATGGCAGGCCCGGGTACCAATGATGCCCAAAGCCACCCTTCAAAAGGCAGCTGCTTTTAGAGAGTGGCCGCCAGGCAAGGGGCCAGGGCTCCAGCAGGCACCGCCGGAGTGGCGCGCAGCCCTCCCCCAGCCCGCACCTCACCTGCTTGTTGGCTTTTAGCACGGTCCTCAGGGTGGCGATCTGCTCTCGCTTGGTGCTCAGCAGAGACTTCAGCTTCAGGATCTCCTCCATCAGGGCTTCTTTGTCCTTGTCTACCACAGGCCCCAGCTCCTGCGTGGCCACACGCTGGCGGGACAGCTCCACCGTGCGGTCCACGGCCGCCTGCAGATGCTTGATCTGGTCCCGGATGATGGCGATCAGGTTGTAGATGTTCATGGGCTCCTTGCGGGGATCCGACACAGGGGAGGGGAGGGAGGAGCTGGGGGAGGGCGAGCCGTCGCCGCTCCCGCTCTCCACCTTGCTCAGGTCGATGGCCAGGAGCCCCTTGGAGAGCAGGATGGGCGAGCGCCTCCCCTTGCCTTCGGGGCTGACGCGCCCGCCGCCCTTGCCCTCCTTGTAGTAATCCAGCATCACTCTGTTGGGGGTCTCGTTGTTGCACATGCATACGTGGTGGTAGAGGTTGGCCAGCTCCTCGCTGAAGGTCACCAGCTCGTCCTGGGCCACGCTCAGGCTGCCCTGCGTCTCCCCGGCCACGTCACTCACCTTCTTCAGCTCCTTCTCCAGCCGGGCCAGGTGCTCTCGGTCCAGCCGGCTGGCCTTCTCCAGCAGCGCGATCTTCTCCGTCAGGGCCTGGCCTTCGGTCTCATAGCGGCCCTTCTCCTCCTCATACCTGGACGCGCACTCCTCGTAGCGGCCCTTCAGCGCCTTCAGCTCCTCCCGCAGGTCGCCCACCTCCGCCACAGCCACCTTGTACTTGCACTCCAGGATCTCAGGGCCGTTGATGTCCACCTCATAGTAGTCGCCGTCCTCGTGGCTGTCGCGCTCCTTCTCATTGTCCAGCGCCGACTGGCGCTCCTTGCTGACCTGGAGCTTCTTCATGGCCGTGAGGTTCTCGGTCAGACGACTGACCTTCTCGTGCTGCTCGGACAGGGCTCCCCGCGTAGACTCGAGCTGCTTCTGGGACTCCTGCAGCGTGGAAAGCAGGGTCATCTTTTCCCGCTCCATCTGAAAAAGCACAAAACGGGACCATGATTCTGTCGGCCATTGTCTTGCCTCAAAGGCAGAAGTCACGCAGTCAGTCAAGGGGCCAGGACAACCAACGGTCCCATTTCTCCTTCTGGAGCAGTGCGATGGACCCTCACACAGCGGGCCCAAAGCAAAAGAAAGATAATGCCCATGGGCCATCCCCTGCGCCCCCAAAAATATATTACACAGATATTCAGAATACTTTCAGAAAGAGAACAGAAATGCCCACAGCATCATTCTGCCTCCACCTCACGAGGCCACTAGGAGAGGCAGCCTGACGAGGTGCAGACAGGGCCTAAGCTGTCCGGAGGCCTTGGTTCAGTCCTGCCTGTGACCCTGAGGAGGTCACAGTGGCCCTTCCCCTCCACTTAGCCTTTCACCATCCCCAGACACCTCTCTGTCTAAGGCCACTAGTTATGTGGGATCTGCTCGTCTGCCTGGGCCCCTTGGTGAGTTCTCCCATCCTAACCACAGGGAGACCTAGAGTGGCCAACTATAAGGTGCTCTGCCTTCGAGGAACGTCTCCCTGGGAGGTCTGGGCCAAAGGGACACTCACTTCCCCTCCCCCTAGGGAATCCACAGCCCACTACAGATAGCTCAAGCATCACTTCCTCCACAAGACCCTTCAGGATCCTCTGAGCACTCTGGAAGTGACACTATTTATTTCATGTTTTTCTTATTTCCTTACTGGTGTGAATGTTATTTCTCCTAAGGAGAATGGAAGCACCTTGAAGACAGGAACAATTTTCATTCTTGTCTTTTTTACATCGTATTCTCAGGACCCGGCACACAGTAGGTGCTTAATGCTTGCTGATTCCAATAGAGCGATGGCCTTCTGTTCCCCCTCATCTTATACTATCTAGCACTGGTCACAGAAAGGATTCCACAGAAAGGCCGTGATGCCCTGGTCGAGCAGTCACAGAGTACATCATTGCTTCTATTTTATAAGCTGGAAAGCCGAGGCCTAAGGAAATTCAGCAAGGAGCTGCAGAGAGCCTGGGCTCCCCAGGCCCCCACAGCGGTGATACTCCAGGCTCTACCGTGAACAACAGTGACCTCAGGACACTGAGAGTGAAGCACGCTGCCTGCGAGAGGTGGTGGCGGGCTACCAGTGTGGAATGAGGCATACGTTGTCAGATTTGCTCTTCTGAACTGTCGTTCTGTGTTACAAAGGAGGGTTTCATTGGTGGTGGTAAAGAGATTGGGGGGGGCATTTGAAAGTGATGGTGATTTTATTTCACATGTATAATTGGTATCATATCACTTGCCTTCTCAGATAATTTGGAACTCAAAAATTAAAAAGAAAAGAATGCTGAAAATGAGTAAGAAATTCCTTAAAAAAGAGCAATGGCGATTTTAGGGAAAAACCCTCTACCAGTCCAGCGCTAAAGGACAAAGGCCGAAGGATCTAGGGGAGAGGAAGGGCTCCGTGAACGCAGAGCCAGAAACGTGCAGAGCCCCGGGCAGGGCCGCTCACCTGCACCAGCTGCTGCTTCAGCTTCTGGATCTCCGAGATGTTGAGCTCGCTGAGCAGGTCAGACACCAGGCTGGGCGCCGGCGGGAAGCCTTCCTCCTTCTTGGGCGTAGAGGTCTTGTTGCTGTCGCAGGCCGCCATCTTGTGCAGCCCGTTCTGCTCGAAGCCGTTCACCAGGACCTCATCGTTGTTGGGCTCAGCTGCCTCGTCGCTGAACTTGAGGCCATCCAGGGAGAAGCTCAGGTGGCTGGTGTACATGGAGTCGTTGATGTTCATGTAGTGGGACAGCTCCTTGCGAAGGTTGTTCTTCTGCTCGCGCTCCGTCTTCAGGGTCTCCAGCGACTCCTCCAGCTGGCGCTCGGCGATCTCCTTGAGGCGGATGGCGTCCTCCAGCTGGCTGTTGAGATACTCCGTCTCCTCTTCCAGCCGTTTGATTTCATGTTTGAGGCCTTCAAACTCCACCTGGGAGGAGAGCACACAAAAAAGCCACGGTCAGACACGGGGGGCCCACATTCCTCCCCTGGGCCTCAAGGTGGGGTTGGGACCGAATGTCTCGTCAGCTGGGGCTCGCAGGCTGCCCTGGCACAGTCCCTTAGAGCTGACGGGACGAGCAAGGTAACGGCCAGTTGGGGGCCAGCGTGTTAGCGGTGAGGGTCCGGACGCCGCACCCCACCCCTGCTGCCCCGAGGCCCTCGTGGCCATGAGCCTGGTCTTACTACTGGCTCTTCTGGGAGTTACTGGGGATAGACTCTGGCCTCCCTGTCAGTAGAACGCGAGCTTCTTGAGGGCAGGCGCCTTGTAGCTCGCTGTGTGGATGGAGAGAGAATTCACATCGAAGACTTGGGTTAGAAGGTAAGGAACAAGGAAGAAGGGGCCCGGCCCTTCCTCACGAGCTGGGGAGCTGCAAACGTGTCATCCCCCCCAGAGCTCCACATGGTGGTCTGCTCAGCTGGGCCTCACCACGGCAGAGTCACAGGGCTGGTCGGGCCTCAGAGCCTCCCCCCGCCCCCTGCATCCTCACTTGCCCGTGGTCTTTAGCTCTCTCTTAAACCTCCAGTGAGGGTTATTTTAATCACTGTTAGGCTCATATTTTTTTCCCTCCTGACATCCAGCTCTAATCTCCGTCTCTGCAGTTCCTGTATCTTGTTCCTGGTTCTGTTTTCTGGGCCCAGGCAGAATATAAAAGCCCTCCAGACGGGACCGCCGTCCCAAAGTGGGATGGGTGTGGCCTCAGGGTTCCCCCCTCCCTTGGAGGCCTTCAAATAGAACCCCAAGATTACCGAGGGGATTTATTTTACCTCTGGGATAGACTAGACTGAGGTGGGGAACCTACGACCTTGAGGCCACACGTGGCCCTTTAGGTCCTCAAGTGTGGCCCTTTGACTGAATCCAAACAAATTTGTTCTGTGAAATTTGATTCAGTCAGGGGGCTGCACTTGAGGACCCAGAGGGCCACGTGTGGCCCCCACCCTGGACTTGACGCTTGCTGAGATTTCTTCCAACTCTGACATTCTTTGATTCTGTGAAATACTTGGACATATCGCCATGTCTTCCCTAGGAGACCATCTTGGTCAGGCTCAATATCCCTAATTCCCTGTAACAATCGTCGTGGGGCAAGGTGTCTGGCATCCTCCCCATCCTGCTATCTTCTCTGGATGTACTCCAGCTTGTCCATGCCCTCCCTAAACCCCACCAGATGTGGTCTGACCAGGCAGAATGCACCAGGGCAATCACCTCTACTAACCTGGATACTATGCCTCCTTGAAGCTTGGGTCCACTAAAACTCCCTGATCCTTTTCACATCTCGGTTGTTTGGCTACGCCTCCCCAGGCTTACCCACATGAAGCTGCTTTTTTGAATACACATACAGGGTTTTACTTTTGTCTCTCAGATTTCTTCTAATTAAGGTATGGCCCCATATTCTAGCCTGGCTCCCAACAGAGCAGCCTCCCAAGGGATGGAGACAGGGAAAGAAGCCATTTCCTGGCCTGACTGTGGAGGGAGGGGGAGGGAGCAGGCTGAGCCTCACTGCACAAGGGCCACTCTGACCCCCGACTCTTCTGCTCCTTACTTGGTTTTGCTTCAGGACAGACACTTGTTTCTGGAGGCAGATGTTCTCCTCCTCGAGCTCTGTGTAGTCCTGGAGCAGGCGGGCTTCTCGGAACTTGTACTCCTTGATGTCATCTCGCAAACGCGCCCTCTGGATCTCCACATTCTGGTTGATCTGTCAGGAAACAGCAGCAGCACACGGAGGTTACAGAGAGCCCCTGCTTCGGGAGGGTCTCTGGACACAAGGACACCCAAACTACTGCGGCGGGGAGGGTTGGGGGAGCTCAGATCAAAGCCCTCAAAGCAGTGGAATTATTCATATTTTGTCTGGGGGTGGGGGGGGAGAGAAGGGGGCTTTTGTTACAAAATATTCAATGGGCTGCATATGTTAAGAGCTCATTAAAGGCATTTTCATTTACTTGTTCAAGTATTTTAAAAAGCAAACCTTGTGATCTAACCTTTTTTGGGGGCGGGGGAGGAGCACTGAGCTGCCAGAACCCCAGTCCCGGGAGCCTGAGCAGTCATCCAGGGCAATCCTGGCTTCGGTTTCACGGTGGTCTATGGAGCCCACCCTGCCCTGGAGGAACTGCATTACCCCACCCAGGATGACAGATATGCCCCAATTTGATGCATAAAGACAACACTGGCTAAAAATAATGCTTCCCATTTATCCATCAGCCAACAGTTATACAGCCATTTAAGGTCCGCAAAACGCTCCAGCTAATGCACTTTCATATCCATCTCATTTTGACACAGCCTGGATCACTGACAAAGGTTGGCTTCGCCCGCCTCCCTGTCTGTGCTGGCAAATCTCCCAATCTCCGAGTGCCCCCAGTCTAGGACCCTGAGCCATCCTCCGCTAGCTCCTGCCTCCCCCCACCCCATTCAATCATTGCCAGAGCTCCTTGATTCTCTCTCTTTCTCTCTCCTTCCCCCTCTCCCCACAGAGCCACAAGCCTCATTCTGGCCCCATCACTCATAGCCTCAATTATTTTTAATAGAAGACAGGTCTTCTTCATCCCACGCCTTCTTCCCAACCAGGACCTTTCCTGCACATGCTCTTCTCTGACCCCTTCAACCGGAGTCAGTCAGTCCTTGACTCTCTCTAGCCACTCTTCTTTGGAGGGCTGTGCCTGGCCCACAGACTCAATGACCACCTGGTCTACGCAGCCGGCTCTCCAGTACACATGGCCACTCCTGACCTCCTCAGAACTCGGGGCCGCCCTCACGTATCCCAACCTCAGCACGTCCAAACTGGAAGTCATCACCTTTGTCCTTAATGTCTCTCTTCCAGTTAACAGCTCGATCTGTCGTTCTCCCAGACACTCAAGCTTGAGGGGGACTGCGGAGATAGTTGTCTTTAACACGTCCTTGTTGTCAGTCCTACAAACTGGCCTGTGGCCAAGCTGACTGCCAAGGGGGCGCCTTCCTTCCTTGTACCTTCCCCATCCTCCTTTCTAGCCTGGCTACCTGGGGACCCTTATTAGGCAGGGTTTGGGCTCTAAAGTCTGGCTCTATCTGAAGACTGGCACCTTCAACAGCTGGCACATTCCACATGTCGGGAGCACATCAACTTTAAATGAAAAACATACTAAAACACCTACTATGTGCCAAGGCCCTATGCTAAGAACTGGAGAGAGAAGGAGCTCACAATCTACTGGAGGGGTCTACACCAAGAGCTAGGATCAGAATGAGACTCCACAGAGGACAAAAAAATCTTCCCTTCTTTCAACAACCCCAGGAGGTAGATTTTTTTTGGGGGGGGGTTGAGGCAATTGGGGTTAAGTGACTTGCCCAGGATCACACAGCTAGTGAGTGTTATGTGTCTGAGCTGGATTTGAACTCAAGACTTCTTGACTCCAGGGCGGGTGCTCTATCTACTGTACCACCTACCTGTCCCATCTTCCCTTCTTTCAAGATCAGGCTTAGGCACTACCTCCTCCAGGAAGTCTGTCTTGACTCCTTCCTCACCAGCCCCTGCCCCTTAATAAATATTTCATCCTACCCTCTTCAGATCTCTTCTGGGCACTTAATAAAATTGCAGAATTTTAGGGCTAGGAGGGATATCAGAAGTCCCGCCTAAGCCTTCATTTTACAGATAAGTAAACTGAGGCTCTGAGAGAAGAGACTTGCCCAAGGTTACAATAAAAGCTAGTGCTTGGTAGAGGTGGGGCTCAAAATCATTCTAAGTTGTAGCCAATGAGGAGCGTGTCATCTCACACACAGACCCTCCGAATTTCGATATTTTGGTTGATCTGGGAAAGGGCGGCATGAGTGAGAGAGGCCCTGGTCAGAGAAGGTCGGGGTCCCGGCCAGCACCACACGCAGCGGGCTCAGGCTCCTAGGCTCCTGCCAGAGCCAGATATCCCTTGTCCCCTTCCCCCATCCCCTGCAGCACCGCAATGGTCTTCCTGGCCTCTCAGTCTCCAGCCTCCCAGCCCCAGCTGCCCCCCTTCAAACACTGGCCAGATCCCTCACTGAATAACCTTGGCTGGCTCGTCACTGGCTTCGTCACTGCAGGAAGCAGGCCAGACTCCTTTACCTGAACCTCCAGGGGCTTTGTATCCCCAGCACTTAGCACCGTGCCTGGCACACAGTGCCTGACAACTTACTAAATGCTTGGTGATCAACTGATTGATAGATGTTTTCCTGCTGTAGAATGCAGAGAGGCTCTTGGGATGCGTCAGTAACTAAAGGAGCCTACAGGTGCAAGAGGGTTTTCTGGCTTACAGAGGGCCCCATCTCCACATTACCTGGCTTCATTTTCTGAATGGAACAATCCCATTTTTCTCAGGGCCTCTAGAAACTGTCTCAGTGAATCAGCAACAATTATTCTTGCCACACAAACTCAAGTACAAGGACAGGAAAGGAAAGGAGTTGCCATCTTGGGGGAGCACATACGTGCAGTCAGCAGCAGTCTCTGTTGTCACAGGTCCTGGTCACAGGTGATGATGCAGTCTACTACGGGAGCTGCTCCAGGGTCCCTCACTCAGCCCAAGGGGCAACTTCCAGCTCAGGGGGCTTACCCTGGAATGGGACGCTCCTCCCACAGTGGCGCACTGGGCCCCTAGAGGACACCTTCTAGGGACCCCCCTCCCTGGCAGGCTCAGGAGGGGCAGAATGGCTGACCCACTGAGTGCTCCCTTCTACATGCTCCTTGCAGAGATGACAAATGAACACTTTTAAAACCTAACCAGGAAAACCAAGCCCACTTCTAAGGGATGAATCTTCCCACCCTGTTAGCCAATGCCCAGCTCTCTTCTGTTCAGTCAATGTGGAGCTGGGGAGGACCCATCTTACAGGGAAGGAAAGTGGAGGCCCAGAGGGGTCCGATGACTTGTCCAAGCTCACACAGGGAGTACAAAGTCTCACACCCAAGCCCCCTGTCTCTAGTTCCAGTGTGCCACACAGCCTGTCTTTACAGCATGAGAGAAAACTTAGAAATGGCAGGAGAAGAAGTAAGCCTGCCCGGTGGCCCACAAGTATGAGCCGAGCTGTGGTAGCCTGTGTTACTTCTCTGTCCCTCGCAGTGCAGGAAGGTTCCACTTGGCCTTCAAGGCTCAGCTCAGGGGATGCCTCACCCAGGAAGGCCCCCCCCATCACCCCGGCCTCTCATCACTCCCTCCTCTAGGACCCCATCCCACCTCCTGGTTCAGCATCCCACAGAGTCGCCATCCTTGGCTTCTTTCCCTTCTCAGAGGCCCAGGGTTCTCTCCTCCCTGCGCCCCCCTTGGCTTCTTCCCCTCCCCAGAGGCCCAGGGTTCTCCCCCCCCGGCCCCCCCCCCCCCCCCCCCCCCCGGCTTTTACATGGTGCTCTAAGGTATGCAAAGCACTTTCCGATCTCATCAGAGAAGACTAGCTAAGCTTTGTGAAGCCCTACTATGCCCCACTGTCAGGCCCTGTGCCCGGCCTTACAATTATTATCCTATTTGATCCTCACAACAGCACTGGGAGGCAGATACTGTTATTTTTAATTCTGTCTTGCAGATTAGGAAACTGTGGCTCAGAGTGGTTAAGTGAGTAGGCTGGGGTCACACAGGTAGTAAGTGCCCAACCACGGGGGCTGCAGGCAAGAGGAGGGCACTGGGGCTCCCTGGGTCATCACAGAGAAAATACCAGCAGGAAAAGGGTTCTGCTGGCCTGCAGGGGCATGGGGGGGGGAGGGGAGGCCGGATGCGGTTAGCCAGGTCTGGGAAGTGTCCAGGCGCCTGGCCCTGGCAGCAGAGATCTCCAGCCACTTCCCCATGGGCCATCTGTGTGGGCTGCCAAGTCAAGAGGGAGCTGAGAGACAAAAGAACAGGATGGAAACCCCGCACCGCCCGGAGAACGAGCCCCAGGCAGGCTCCTCTTTCCCCAAGGGAGGATACAACACGCTTCCCCCTCGGGAGGTCACAGCTCCGGCTTTTGCTGAGGCTACAGCCACCGTCCTGCAAAGCAGAACACGGATCTGAGGAGATGGGCAGCAAATCAGGGCTGGTCAGGGCAGCCAGACACAGCGTCTGCTGGGCCCTGGGCAGAGCCTATGAGGAGGGGCTGGGGGGCAAAAGCAGCTCCCTGGGCTTGGCAAAGACCAGACATAAGGGCCTGCCTCTGGATCTGAATGCGGGAGTCTGCGGGTCTGAATGTGGGAGCCTCTGGTCCATACTCCAGCCCATAAATAGAGATAGATGTGAAATGGGAAGGAACCTTGAAGCTGTCTAGCTGCACCCCTTCATTTTACAGGTGAAGGAAGAAACCGAGGCGTGGGGACTTGCCCAAGATCACACAAGATCAGGGCCAAAGGTGAGATCCGGGACATGTCTACTCTCAAATGACAAAGATGAGTCTGGGAAAGGCAGCCAAGGAACAGAAAAGGCTCTTGGAAGGAGTAGAGCTTGGAAAGTTACCCATGTCTTCGCACCACAGAGGTGGGGCCCCACAGGGGAAGAATGCTGCCTGCACAGCCGCACACATCACCCAAGTGGCTGCCAATCCACCCACCTCAGCGCAGCTCTGCTCACTCTGCAGCTTGGACAGGAAGCCTGTCCTTAGCTGCTTATCTCCAATTTGTCTGGAATGGATCCAGTTGGCATGTGTTTGTACATACTGGTCGGCTACCCTGTTAGACTGTGAGCTCCTCGAGGACAGGGGCCATCCTGGGCCTTTCTTTGTATCCCTGACAGACAGCACAGCGCC